AAATAATGTTTTTTTTTTTTACTTTAAACCGCATAAACACATTTCATTACACCAAATACACAAAATAATGTTCTTTTTAGCAGCATCATATGACCCCTTTAACTTTTCGCTGAGCTTGTCACATGCTTCTTTCTTGTCCTTGCCGATGAGAAACGCCTTAAAGGGGTCCTATTATGCTCTTTTACAAAGTCTTGATTTTGTTTTGGGGGTGTACTAGAACAGGCTCTCATACTAGGTTGTATTTTTCACATATTTTACATTATTACAACACCTCTCTCCCCAGTCTGGCATGAACGGCTCGAATAGTTCCTGTATCAAATGAAGGCCCGCCTTCTGAAATACGAAATGTGCTGTGATTGGTTAGCTGGGCCAGTGTATGTTGTGATTGGCAGCACTCTGCGCCTGGTCGGGAAATGTCATGCCCCTTACCATAGCTGCCTGCGAGCTTCAGTGTAAATATTGCGTCAAAATCAAATCAATTTGAGCGCGATTTAAACCCGGATGATTGTAAGCACTCTAAGTTCGTCTGCCTTGGGAAAGCTAGCGTGTCTCCGACATAGTGATAACACTCGTTGCCTTCTCTAGTGCAGCTCAACCAGGTCTCGTCCCATTCGTCGATATTTGTGATATCACAAATCCCGGAAAATATGCGTTGTAGTCCAAACGAGTCGTTCGTTGTAGTTTTCGAAAAGTGATTTCTATTAAATAAAATATCTCCTTTTGAAGTGGACTTTGAGCTTTGTAACTTTGCAGATCTTTTTATGCTCAAAAAGCAACATTACAGACTAACTAAAGTTGAAAAAGTGACAAAGCATAATAGGACCCCTTTAAGAGAGGGTCTGTTTTGACACTAGAAAATTCAGAAATGTGTGCAAATCTGAAGTATTGGGGAAAGACATTGGCAATGTCAAGTTGCAAACAGATGCAGTTCTTCTCGGTAAAATGATAATGCCATTTCAGCAACACTTTGGCCTTACTGAGAGAGGCTGTTTTTCCCTGACAGCAGAGAAATGTTTGACTTTGGGGGGAATGTGGCGCCAAACAATACGCAGAGACAGGCGAGAGGGTTGAAAGCACTGAGGAGGAAATGACATTGATTGAAAGTGAAATGTAAGACAGTAAGGATGGCTAGATGTGGGGGGTTTTGAGATATTGTTGGCATGCTGCATCTCTGTCCTCTGTCACATTGATCTCATGAGTGCATGGAGTCCATATATATTATACACACTACCGTTTAAAAACAAGGATACATTACATTTATTAAACGCATATTTGAAAGATTTCTGAAGGATCATGTGACACTGAAGACTGGAGAAATGGCTTCTACAAATTCAGCTTGGACATCACAGGAATAAATTACATTTGAAAAAATATTCAAATAGAAATATTATTTTAAATTGTAATAATATTTTACAATATTACCTTTTTTTTTTTGATAAAATAAATGCAGCCTTGGTGAAAATAAGAGACTTCTTTCAAAAACATTTAAATAAGTCACCAACACCTAATTTACAAATTAACTTAAAAATGTCAGGCCATTTCCTATCCCGATCTTTCTCTGTCTTTGTATAGGTGATGAAGTGTATTGTGGAAGTAATTGCAGATGCACTGTCCAAGCCTCATCCCAGCTCAGTGTCCCAGGACTGCCTTGAAACCCTCAGCGCTGGTGAGTGCCTGCGTTAGTGACACCTGGACTACTATTATTTCCATATATTAAGCTGCACTTGGGTGCACTTATTCCTTATCATCAGCAGTGACCTTCCCGATATGATCAATATATACCATCATTGCTGGTGTGACTGCACGTTTCTGATAGTCGAAAGTTAAAGGGATAGTTCACCCAAAACATTTAGTCATTAATTACTCACCCTCATGTTGTTCCAAACCCGTAAGACCTTCGTTCATCTTTGGAACACAATTTAAGATTGGAGTCATAGTGTGAAGTTTTGGCGTTGCGTGCACTGTTCAGCCACATTGCAGGGTCTTTTTTTCCTTGATACTTTAATAGTTAGAAAATCAATCATTCTATTAGCAAGCCAGGTATTGTTACTGAGATAACGCTTACAACAGTGAAATCAAACACACTGTGAGAGGCTTACACAATGAGTCTAGGACAAAGAAAGAGTGAAGGACAGAGACTGACAGAAAGAGGAGGACCAATAAGTTGAGAAAAGCAGAATTTCATTAATACACTGTAAAAACATCAATATTTTTAACAGGAAAAGTATATAAAATTGCGATACAAAAAAAAATTACTTAATTGTTAGTTACCTTACCAAATACTGTAAAATTATATTATATTATATATAATAATAATAACAACAATAATAATAAGATAATTATTATAACATTAAAAAAATATTATTTAATTTGAATTTTAACAAAATATTGTTACAATTATAATTGTTACATTTTTAAAAATAAAAAGTATAAATCACCTTATATAGAATGAACCACCTTATAATTCATAGGGAAAGGGACATTGCCAAGATTCACTGTTTAAAACCACCTTTTTATTATTAATACAGTAAGAAAAATAATGAAATAGTTCAAATAAGTTAGTGTGTTAAAATTGTATTATTAAAAGACATACAGTTAGTAACTGTAAAATATACAGTACGGTAATCACAGTTAACTAAAACTGAAACTAAAAAACATAAAAATCACTACTTGAAATAAAATAAATGTTAACTGAAATAAAATAAAATGTAAAAAAAAAAAAAGTTTGTTTGTTTATGTTTGTTGCTCATATCAGTGTTATTTTAGTATCATTGTGATATTATAGTTTTTATTATTTTTAATTAGTTTTTCTTTTTATATATTTTGCCAAGGCAACATTTCTCATTTTAATTTAGTTTAACTTGATGAACTAAAATAACTAAAATGAATACAATTCTGTATTTTTTTGCAGTAATATTCTGGCAACTACAGCTGTCAGTTTTGGCAGAAGCTTGGCAGAGAAATAAGGCGACAGACATTTTGAGAGAGAAAGTAAGGAGTAGAGTGAATAACATTGCCACAGAGTGAGCAGCCGACTCTGCATTCACTCTTTGTCGGTCAGCAAAAAAGGAAAAGCTTGACTCAACGTTAATTCAACGCAAATCTCTCCTCTCCCCCTCTTTATTGCTTTCACTTTCTTTCTTCTCTCTCAGCGGGCCTGATGATTAATAGTGCTGCTCAGGAGAAGGCAGTACATTTCAGGGCAATTAATGCAAATAATGTAAAAATAAAGTAAAGTGCTGACTGCTAAAAATAGGGTTTGGAGTTTGGAACTGTGTGTGAGGTGTACTGTGTATTTTCCAGATGACAGGCTTGTGAGCATCCTGCGCCACCGCAACTTTCTTCAAGAGCTGCAAGATATCGCTGTGGAAGGTAAGAGGCAGATGCTCCAGATCTGATTGGGACAGCATGAACCAACTCTGTTTCCTATGGAGAAATGCTAATGGCAGCAGAATGATAGTTGGCTCCTAATGGCTTTTCTGGCAGCAGTAGGTCATTTGAAATGTAGAGCAGATATCGTATAACACTGCTGATGAACTCTGATAGAGAAGCCATAGATTCTGTTTTATTGCCAAGAAGCTGCTATGTCCACTTGTGACCGTGTCTCAACCAAACTGCTTCTCAGGAGCCAGTGAAAGAGCACAGAAACACCCCGGAGACACACCTGATCATGTGACCAGCCTCTCTAGAGACATGAAGAAAACTGCAGGTGAGATTAGTCCACTTCTTAATTGCTACATGACTCTATGCTAGTCTGTTACATCTTTCTTTCTTTCTTTCTTTATATTCCCATACAGAAATGTTATATATGACACATATTGCCCTATATCAGGAGTAATATTGCCATATGTTACCTATAAGGTGATATAGTTTTTTCTCATACGTACATTCTCTAAGTAGACGAAGACATAATTTTATATCATATATAAAATGTCTATAGTAAATTCTGTATATGTACATATGTTAATAATATCTATATGATGAGTTTTTCATATGGTATTATTTGTAGCAACCATATATGTCAACAATATATATATATTTTATTTATGTATGAAACAATTGAAACAACATACAAACATTTGTACATTTACATAGGTTTTTGTAATAAATGTTTTACATTTACTTATATAATATTGACATGTATTGATGGATTTTAGGATGGATATGTACATATATGTCCAAAAATGTACATATTTGTATGGTATAGATATATGTTAATATATTGTTCCAATTTCTAATAGGTATCACAAGTTTTTACTTCTTATGACAATATATGGTAATTTCATATATGTATATACTGTATATTACATTTGCATATGGGTTGTTGTGGGTATTTATTTATTTTTTTACATTTTATGTGCAGACTTTGCATATATGAGAGAAAAGATTAGTTTGTTCTAATCTTAGAATAAGTTCTGTCAAAGAAAGCATGCTACTTTGATTTAGCATTGCTTTTCACCCTTCAAAGGACAGTAGACAGTTATCCAGTACTCTCAAAGCACATTTTAGTGTGAATCACTGTGTTCTGCTCTATAGAGCTGCACTTTGCAGCATTCTGACAGAATCAGGGCAGAGGGCACATCTGTCTCTCTAGTATGAATTGTTTTTTGCTTGTGAAATTGCACACTACCCGTGGTATGATCCTGAGCTTGTAAAACTTCTTATGCCCACTAGTGTTGTCACGGTACCAAAATTTCAGTATTCGGTACCAATACCAGTGAAAATCCACGGTTCTCGGTACCAATTTCGGTACCAAAGCAAAACATAAAAACATGCTAATTGAACAACATTTTTATTAATAATGTTAAACAAAAATTAAATGTACAAAACCAATGCCATTCTTTATACTTATTTAAAATTGTTTCAAGTTTTTCCACAAGTAATAAAAGTATGAAAAAAGTAAACAAGTTTCACCCAAAAGTTTAGTCATAGTTCTGCTGCCACTGAAAAACATCTGTAAACTGTTGTCTGTTTTAGGGTTTGCTGGTGTTTTCAGGATCTTCCTCAGTCTGCAGCTGTAAAAGGAAAATATAATATACTTCAGAAAATCAACCCGCGGCAACAGTGTTAAAGCAGCCCAATTCCGCGGGAAAACCGCGGACTTGGCAACACAGGAAGAGGCTAGCTTTCGTTTAGCGCATCAAGAACCGGGTTGACCGGGTGCTCGGTACTACCGGTACTTAAAAAAACCTGGTACCGTAACGTTTTCAATTTTTTGGTACCGACTTGGTACCGAAATACCGGGTCTTTTGACAACACTAATGCCCACCACCCAGGACTTTTGTCTTGAGTATGTCATAGCTCAAGTCTGTGGGCACAAATGTGTGGGTGCTAAATATCATTCGGTACTTAGTGTCAGAGTCAAGTAAAACACTGATTATGTTTTAAACTACCCCTTAATTTGTGAGTGAGTTGTTGTCAGTGCACTTTTCATTTGACCGCATTCAAAAGTGCTGACCTTGAAAATGGTGTCATCTATTTCTATGATCTATTTGCATTGAAAATACATTTTCATCCTAAGCAGTGCATCCAACTCGACTCATATTAAGCCATGTCACTCTCCTTATTCAGGGAGGTAAGCAGTCAGTGGTCACAGTGTGACCTTTTTCCTGAGGTTAACATATTTTGAACACACCATCTATATGTTCTTTTGCAAGTACTGCACTGCTGAGGTCAGACAGATTGATCCAAAGAAAAACAGTTTAACAGTCTGTTCCACTTTCATTAAAAGGCACTGTAGCAGAATTCATCACAGATGAACATCAGAACATCAAGACCTGAAAGAAACTGAAACAAATCTCAATAAAAGAATAACACACATTATATAATTCACATTCATTTGGTGATTATTTTTTATTATCCTGAATAAATCAGAATAAAAGAATATCACACATTATTTTTCACATTTATTTATTTACTTGTTCATTTATTCATTCATTCATTCTATTATTATTATTATATTATCATCATAGAAGAATCGGTAACACTTTACAATAAGGTTCCATTAGTTAATGTATTAACTAATGTGAACAAACAATGAACAATACATTTATTACAGTATTTATTCATCTTTGTTAATGTTAGTTGATGAAAATACAGTTGTTCATTGTTAGTTCATGTTAATTCACAGTGCATTAACTAATGTTAACAAGCACAACTTTTGATTTTAATAATGCATTAATAAATGTTGAAATTAACATTAGCTAAGATTAATAAATGCTGTAGGAGTACTGTTCATGCTTGGTTCATGTTAACTAAAGTAGTTAACTAATGGTAACTAATGAACCTTATTTTTAGTTTCCTAAAAGAAAACAAATCTTAATAATATATCACATTATATTTCATATATGAATCAAACCTGAAGGCTCTGACCTGAACGAAATCCAATCTGAATAAAAGAATATCACACACTATATTTTTCACATTTATTTATTTATTTGTTTGTCTGTTTTCATATATGAATATATTAATTTATTATAATATATGAATGCACCAGAAAGCTTTGAAAGAACACAAATCTGAATAAAAGAATAACACTATATAATTAACGCTTTACCATCCTACAGATGATCAGTCAATGTTGGTTGCCGTGGATAAATCAGAAGAAGATGCACAGAAGAGAGGAGCAGGAGAGGAGAGCTCCAGAGACAGTGAGGAGACAGAGCAGGAGGCTCAAAAACAGAACCAGATTGCTGAGGAAGAGGAGCGTGAAGAAGATGAGAGTCCTAGCAATCACATTTCCAACTCCATAAACTCAGAGCAGAAGAGAGAGTCACAGGAGGAGGCCACAAAAAGGGATGACGAGAAACAAGAGGAGAGGAAACACTCCAGCTTAGAAAAGGAGAAGGAAAATGATCCGGCTTACCATAAAGATGGTAATGATGAATGCGATATGTGGCATGCCATATGTACTACTTTCTGAGTTTATCTTTGAGTTCATTATGATATGATATGATATGATATGATATGATATGATATGATATGATATGATATTATATGATATGATATGATATGATATGATATGATATGATATGATATGATATGATATGATATGATATGATATGATATGATATGATATGATATGATATGATATGATATGATATGATATGATATGATATGATATGATATGATATGATATGATATGATATGATATGATATGATATGATATGATATGATATGATATGATATGATATGATATGATATGATATGATATGATATGATATGATATGATATGATATGATATGATATGATATGATATGATATGATATGATATGATATGATATGATATGATATGATATGATATGATATGATATGATATGATATGATATGATATGATATGATATGATATGATATGATATGATATGATATTACAAGCAATATTCTGACTGTAGATTAGGTGTAATGATTACGCATTACCAGCCTGGGACCTCTCAAATTCAGGGACCTCCTGCTGAGAAGCTTGTGATGGCTCGATACCTGGAAACAAGCCACTGCAGATGTACAATTGATGGATGAATAGTGCTTGAATGTGTGCCAGAAACTACTTCCATAATGTGAAATACACAAAGAAATGAGAAATGTCACTTGTTCTAGGCTCCTCCACAGAGCCAACAGAACACACTGATGTTCTATACTACTAGATTTCCTGATTTATTCCGATTCCGACACCCTCGATTAAATTAGATTTCAATTCAGTTCCGATTTCATTCCAGTTTGATTCAGTTTTGGGTGTATTCTAGCTATAATGTCTACTTTGCTTAAATATGAAAAAAATCTCTCTCTGCTAATGCTGTAAATAGCATAAGGCAGTGTGTTTTATTATCTTTTTTTTTTTTATCTTTATTAAAAGAACTGACTCAAAAGAGTCATTCGTTTCAAGAATCAGGCTACACTGATTGTGCTGTATGCTTTTGATTCTCTACCAGCTCATAAGAGTCATTTGTTTTCATCTCAAAATTGAGGTATTTAGCATATTTACAATTGTTATTTGGCCAGTACATTTGCGACATGAATGGCCTCAAAGTATCATAATCCATCCATGATCAGGTGTGTACAACTTTAAGCCCAGCAGATGAACAAATAGCCATAGTGCTCCTACTAACGATTTGTCACTCGCCTACATATGATCAATAGCAACATAATCACTACTCCTTGAAAAGTGTGACTGAGTAACAGGGATGTCCACAGAGAATTCATATAACAGGCATTAACTTATTTCGCTGAAGAGGTTGGGAATAACAGCAGGAGATTGTGTCTAAGACACGACGAGGTTAAAAAGAGTCGGGAGGGATGGGGAATGAGGATTGATAGGGGAATTTAGCAGTGCTCCATGAACAGGCCGGTGTGACAGTGCCTTCTTCTATGAAATGAAATCCACGCTGCACTGTGGCCTGCTGAGTCGATTCAATAATTGATGCTGGAGGCCATCCAGATCAGCCAGCTGCCTGTAGCTTGTTAAAAGTGGCCCTCAGATCTCAGAGGAACTTGGTGAAAAATGCCAAACCTTTCAGGTGACTTTGCTTTAGTGTTTTAGTTAATAGAAGCAATGATTTGGGAATCTCTGTTCATTAGTACAGTTAGAAGGACAGGACAGGGGCTTATATTCAGGATAAGAGGCATCAAGCAGTGAGCCGTGAGCTGGCAAGAGAAAGCGTTTCATTTAGAAGAGTGCTGGGTTTGCTCATGCTGCACTGAAGTAAATGCATGTGTGTGTGTGCGTGTAGAATAATGAAAGAGAAGACACTGAGATAGAGAAAATAGAGAAAATATAATATAAAAATTATAACTTTGTTCCGTTTCCACACTTTGTTCCAGCCACAGATGATCATGAAGCGAATCCCGACGTAAAACAGTCCATCATGGAGGACAGCGAGGAGCACAAGGGAGCTGAAATGGAGAGAACACATTCAAAAGAAGAGGAGGAGAAGAAAAGAGAGGTTGGAGTGAAGCGCAGGAGTCGTGTGAGCAAATTGTCCCACAAGAGAGTAGAGGCAAGCCCAAAGCTGGAAGAACACTGGGAAGCACCACACCACTCTAAGGAGAGAGAAGATCAAGAGGGGGAGCTGTGGAGGAGCCCAGAGGAGCAGGAGCTGCAGCTCATGGCACAAACTCAACCACAGGACAAACGAGATGAAGAGGGCAGCGGCAGCAGAAAGACAGGGGTATGAAACTTGGGTGCCCTAACATGTTTTCTTAAAGGTCAAAGCACAAACGGTACTTTTTCTGTGGAGCACAAAAGTCGAATTTTTTTTTTAAATTCTTCACACGGCTCTTTCAGTGAATCCATGGTTCACAGTGACCATGTTGGTCAAGCTCCAAAAAGGACAAAAACAAAAACCACCATGAACATTAAAATAGTCCATATGACTCAAATTCTAAATCATCTGAACTCATACTATAGTTTTGTATAGATATGTTATAATTTCTTTGTCTGAGAAAAAAAAACTGTAATGTAAAACTACATTTTAACTATTTCAAATGAATTTAGGCATCACATTGTACAGTATGAAAAATTACTATTCATTTTGATATTTAACAGTGTTATAAAAAATTTTTCTTTTTAAGTATTAACTTTGAGTGTTAGATGATGACAAAGGTAATCTACATGTAAAAATAGGGGGAATAAACATGCATAATTGAATGTCCAACATCGACATATATTTATTTGTAATTAGATCTTTAATATCGGCAGATTTTTGGACAATGATTCCTTGATGCTCAGAAAATGGGGTCAGAATGTTTTTTTTTTAAAGAAATTACTGAAAGTTAGAAGTTAGAAGAATGCTTAAATTGACCAAACTTACCATAAAGACGTTTACAATGTTAGAAAATATTTCAAATAAATTCTAAATTCTAATTCGTAATGATGCTGAAAATTCAGCTTTGCCATCATAGGAATAAATTACATTTTAAAATATATTAAAACAGAAAACAGTTATTTTAAATGATTAATTTCACAATATCATACATGCAAATAAGAAGCATATTTAAAACAACTTTACTGACCCCAAACTTTTTAATGGTACATGTACGTGTATGTGTAAATGTTCATAAAGCATTTTAAAATTCACTAATGGCCTGAATTTCTCTCTTCTGTCATCAGGATGCTGAGATTGAAAGTCTGGCTGCCATTGAGTCTGAACTGGAGAGTGTGGCTCAGAAACTTCATGATCTGAGAGGAGGCTGAGCCGCTCCAGCTCTTCTCTTTCCGCTTTGCCCTTCATCTCTCCTTCAGTAGAAAGGCATGTTAACTGGAGATGAGGCTCTCACCTTCTTGCTTCTCTTCTTTCTCTCCTCCTCTTCTCTTCTCTTCTCTTCTCTTCTCTTCTCTTCTCTTCTCTTCTCTTCTCTCAGCGCTGCAGATTCTCTGCTCATTCCCTCCATGTGTAAAATGAAACCTTAAAGTAACTCCTCTGATGTCAAACATTCAGAGGTCCCTTCACTTTTTCTCCCAGCTCCTCCGCTTTGCTTTATTGTGCTTGCTTCCTGAAGAAATTTGGGCATTTGAGTGCATTTAATGTCAAATATTTGCCACTGTGAATTATCACACTAGGTTGAAATTTTAATATACATAAGGATACATATCTGAAAGATTACTCCTGATATCATGGAGTCTTATGATCCAAAGGCAATAATGTTTTTATTAGATATGGTGACGACTGTAATTAAACGTTATTTGGGATTCAAGAAAACAAATAAAGATCAAAAAGAAGTGTTTCAAACTGATTCCACACAATGGCAAAGTGCAAAGTGTGCGTCTGAACTAAACCTCAAAGCGTCCCATAACTGATGCCAATACAGCACACAAACAATCAGTCAAAGAATTCTCAATGCTTACGTTTGGTTTTATTGTCAGTTTCATTCATTAATGTTATTTTAGAGGTTTTGTTCTGCCTCCAAAGAAAAAAATTAACATATTTACAAAGTATACATCATGTACAAGTATAACGTGATGGGCATAAAACAGACTAACAAACATATTACATTGTCAGAACGGCAGATTTAACACATTTGTCAATCATATTGCAGGGATAATTCACCCAAAATGCAAATTCTGTTTGTTTCTCTGTGAAACATAAAAGATGAGATTTTGAAAAATATGAATTTTTGTCAGTGCAATAAAAATGTTCAGGGAAAGGTTCACTGTTGTTTTGGCCACCATTGACTTTCATTATGTCAACAAAAACAACTGAAACATTTTTCTTAATATCTTCTTTTGTGTTCCACAGAAGAAAGATTGTCATACAGATTTATATAGACATTAATTAAATTTTTGGGTGAAGTTTGTTAATTTTCTTTTACAATCAATGCAATGCATAACTCTTCAATTCAAGAATTCACATTCAATCTCATAGCACCTGCCAGATGCTTACGAGGTTTTTGGGCCCTTCAGATATGAAACGATTAGCCTTAAAAAATCTTACTCTTCAGTCTTTTTAAAAAGCAAGCAGAGCTGCTCTTGCTGTGTTTTAAGAGATTAATTACCAGCAAATTGCTTCAGACAGCATTAAAGGTCTTCAAGCTCTCTTATTCAGCCAGAATTTATGATACACGGCAAGTAGAGAAGCCTTAGTGCCAGCTGGACACTTATTTAAATAGTGCAATGTCTTAAACCCAAATCATGACACCTATTTTCCTTTCAAATATCTCATGAATATATTAATATCAATAATATTTTTTATTTCCTCCCATGAAGCCATTGTTCTGCAAATTAAGTTTAGTGCAACATTCATTAAAAATCTAATCATATACCTTTCCAAGATCAGGTCGCCCTTTCCAAACATGAAATTAAATGAGTAGACAATCAATACACATTCAATAATTTCCTACACAATTCACATTTGGCACAAAGGAATTTTCTACACACCTACCCTTTGATGAGCATTCATTTGGTTCGTGAACAGTACTGAAATATTCTATTGCATTGGCTCTCCGTGTCACTGCGAGGACGTCTCCGCTGCTAAACTGGATCTGCTGTGCTGGTGAAAGTTTGGAGCTATGCAAGCGCCGCCACAACTCAGTCCCTGATGGGGACCCTTTATCCCCTCGCTGTCCATCAACCAACTGCTTTCGTTTCCCAGCATGCCATAGTGCATCCCGCAGGCCACAGATGGGCTCTGCGCTATCCCGTTCACTCTCAGATGACCGCACGCCACTCCGTTTGACACCTGACCTTGCAGGACGCTGCTGATGTGACTCAACAGGTCATCGAAAAACTCGGGGACTCCCTCATAACCTGGGTGAAAAATGAAGGTGTTTTAGATAACAGTAGTTAATGTTTTTTTTGTGACGGTGCTGAGAGATTAATAAAAGGAAGATATCATCTGTTGTCTTACTCCTGCGGTGTCATGGGACTCGTTGGATGTACCACTGAGAGATATGAAAGTGCTGTTCCCTGCTAGATACACAAGATCACCATGGCAACAAGCAGAGAGAAAGCAAGGTGACAACTGACAAACACAGCTGTGCCTGCAGGTACTATTAGAGTCTTGAATCAAGGGCTTCAAATGTACTTTTTCCCATCCTTCTACAATGTTTTACACCTTTTGGGACTTTAGCTGAACAATGATGTAAAGCTGAAAGCAAACTACATTTATAGAGTGAGCGGAGTATATTTAGTGTGATGGAGAGTCACAAAATGTTCTACTATAGAACACACAGGCAATATATATATATATATATATATATATATATATTGATAGGAGTTAATATAATTTGTGTAGACTACAGTGAAAGTTATTATCTTTATTTATATCTTCAGTCTATATTCTCTAGTTTGTAAATCAGTGTAGTATACATTGTGTTCAGAAGTGTTTGGTAAAAGTTCTCCGTGAAATGGCTGATTTGCCAGACTTCCAAAAAGAGCAAATCTTGCAGAAGCATCTTTAACAGCTTGACAGCCCGGTTTTTGGTGTTTTAAGAATAAAAGTCTGTATGATTATGACTGTACACAAAGCATGGCAAGACTTCATCAGCAAAGAAGAATAGTAAGCGAAAACCCAAAGTAAATGATAGGGAGCAAACAACACAGAACTACTGCACAAAAGTGACAGCAAACCTCAATATTCACCTTGAAGACCCTGTATCCACAAAAACTGACCACAGAGAACCTCACAAAGCCAGCATACATAAAAGAGTTGCAACTGGTAAAACTTTAATCACTGACACCAATGCTAAAATGGGAAATATATGTTGTCAAAAAAAAAAAAAAAAAAACTGCACAGTTGAAGAACCTAGATGAACTTTAACATCTGCCCTGGCCAAACAAATTACCTGACTTAAATACTATCAAACCACAGTGGATAGTTTTAGAAAGAAAAGTGAGAAGCAGATTCCCTCTAACATCTTAGAAGCAAATGACAGATGTTTTTGTAGAAGACATTCCACCGCAGTTTTAATGGCAAACGTTAGTAAAACACCTTCATACACAAACATTGCCTCTGAGCAATACAAAGCACAAAAAAGGCCTCTTTATTATTCCACACTGACACCATGTGGTTTGTTGGCATTATTGCATTTCTGTTTTTTAAAAGTGGGAATAGAGTTCAGTGCATAAAGATAATATTGCCCAGTCATAGGATTGTGAGGAACTGCACGTGCCTGGGAATGCGTTGATGTCGATGACGGCGTGCTGGCCGGTCTGGTTGTTGATGATGATGTCAATCCCGAACAGAGAAATACCAAGGGCCTGTCTTAACCTTCTGGAAATTCTCTGAATGACATCATTGCTGGGTTCCCGGTACTGGCCCTCCATGTTGTCCCTCTAGAGGAAACCAGAAAACGGAAAAAAGTATGAAATGCCTGTTTGTTGAACATGTACAGTTATTATTCATTGTGAATGCCAAAACACTACAGAATTGTTTTTTTAACGAAGCTTTTTAGTAGAGATGCATCGATCGACCGGCCAGGGACCGGAATCAGACGATTTTCTGCATGATCGGCCAGGACCGGTGATCGGTCGGTCAGGCTCACGTCTTGCCGATTCCGAGCCGGTCCGTTTTGACGTCACAGCTACGCTCACATCAGCATGTAAACATGCCGTCGGCGTGGAAGTTCTTCACTGTGAGTGAAGAAGACACAAAGTTCGCAGTTTGTAATACGTGAAACTTTAGGGCCAAAGTAAACCGTGGGGCTTTAGGGCTCGATTAAAGGGTTCATTCGCCCAAAAATGAAAATTCTGTCATTAATTACTCACCCTCATGTCGTTTCAAACCCGTAAGACATTCGTTCATCTTCGGAACACAAATTAAGATATTTTTGATGGAATCTGAGAGCTGTCTGAAACCTACATAGACAGCAACGCAACTGAAATGTTCCCAAGTCCAGAAACGTAGCAGGGAGATCTGTAAAATAATCCATGTGACATCAGTGGTTCATCTGCAATTATACGAAGCTACGAGAATACTTTTTTCGGAGGAGACGAATTGTTGAATAAAGTCTTTTTTTTTTTTCTTTTGCGCACAAAAATTATTCTCGTAGCTTCGTATAATTGCAGATGAACTCCTGATGTCACATGGATTATTTTACCGATCACCTTGCTACGTTTCTGGACTTGGGAACATTTCAGTTGCGTTGCTGTCTATGCAGGGTCAGACAGCTCTCAGATTCCATCAAAAATATCTTAATTTATGTTCCTAAGATGAACGAAGTTCTTACTGGTTTGAATCGACATGAGGGTGAGTAATTAATGACAGACTTTTAATTTTGGGGTGAACTAACCCTTTAACGCTTGTCCGGGACAAGCTGATTTTTTTAATGGGCAAGTGAGAGAGAATTTTATTTGCCCGACCGCACAAGAAGCCTGATTAAAACGTCAATAAGAAGAATAACTAGGGAGGCACTGAAACGTCGCCACCAAAAATTTTTGCGCGAGAATGATTCTGATTTTATTGCATTCAGTGTAAACGGAGACTGATAATGTATTTATGTCGTGCCATGATGCTCGCGCAACATGTTTAAGAGACAGAGAGAGACGTACGCAGAAATCACAACAAATGAGCACCACAGCACACACAAAATAACTCACTTATTTTTCCTGTAAGAGCGGGCACGGCCATTTGTAAATTTAATGTGTCTGGCTTCCGGTCTCATCAGCTTCCAGCTATTTTTAGCTGTACAAAACAGCTCGTTTTGCTGCTTGATACTGCAAACTGGTGTTTCTTACCATATTATTATAATGTATTATCTTAATTATGAACACACTGGTTTGTAGTGCAAACAGTTTTACCGTTTACTGCACTTTGTTATTCTTCTCGTTCTTTCCCTACAGCGGCTAATGAACCGGAAGTCTCACACATTCACAGAAAGCGGCTTACTTCCGCATTGAAAAATAAGGTGTATAGATGCATACTGCGGTAGAAAAAAAGAAAGAAAATTATAATACATTACACGATCAAGATGTCACGACTGCAATGTGACACTGATTTTATACAATAGTATACATTAACAAGTTCAATAAACAAAAAGTTTAAATTAAGTGACTTACATTTTAGACACAAATATTGACTGCGTTTGCTCAATTTCGCTGATGAAAATAGTTCCAAAAAAAGCAACACAGCAGTGTTTTGTTACTGAATGAATCCACATTTTTGAACGAATCAAATTATTTTGAATGAGTCAATAATTCAGTGAGCCATTCATAAAGATGTTTGAACGAATCAGTTGAATGAATGACTAAATGACTCCCTCATTAAAACAGTCATTTTCCGCCACCTACTGGTGGTTTGGTTTCATATTTAAAAGTGTCATTGCATTTTTCCCAACATTTCTTATTTGTATGTTCGAAAAAATTTTTTTAAAACATTAACCTTATTACATTATTTTTACATTATTTACACATTTGCAATTTTGGGGTGTAAATGCATTTATGGCACCTCAGCTTCATCAAACAGTCGGTGTGAATACATCTAATGCCACTTCAGATGCAGCTTCTGTTTTCCTGCAGTGGAAAGATGGAGTTTGTTGATACTGATTTCTGAACTCTACAGTTTCTTATTATTCTAAATGAATTAATTGAAACAATGTAAGAATTTGAAGTGAAAGATGACACATACATTTAATAATATTAGTGAAAAAAATGCCCATTTATGAACAGTGGGCATCTGTTTTGTTATATATAGCAACTAATTTCTACCTCTTTCCAGTCACAGAGCACTTTATTTTCGAATTGTTTAAGTGAAAGAACATCTGTAACTTAGTCCAGATTGGGGAAAATGGTAATGTTTAATCATTTCTTTTATTATGCTTTTTTTTAATTATTATTATTTTTTATTTTATTTTTTTTTTTGCATTAAAAAAGTAGATTTTTGTTTGTATATGCTGTCAATTATAGTTCTTAGAAAGAAAATCGGAATCAGCAAAAATTGGTATTGGCAGGTCACACTTAAAAAAAATCGCAATCGGCCAAGAAAATTGCAATCAGTGCATCTCTACTTTTTAGTTATACACAAACATTTGATACATTCATTTAGATTTTAACAGGGCTGTTTTTTAGATGAAAAATAAAATAAATGTCTAAACGTGAATGGGTTTTGCTAATGTTTCCAAGTATTTAAGCAATTCAAAATGTTTACAGAATAGTTCATTTGAAGGAAAGCATAATTTTTTTTTACTTGGAGAGGTTAAAGCAGAGTTATAAATATAAGTCATGTTGACTTACGCAGGTCAGGTCAGAAGAGGACTCTGGTTTGGACACATGATGACTGTTGAAAGATATTGCTCTCCTGTCTAGATGAACGACACAGCTTGTTCAGTTTTCAAAGAAATATTTACACTACTGTTCAAAATTTTGGGGTTTAACAAGACTTTTTTTTAATTAATACGTTTATTCAGCAAGGATGCATTAAATTGATCAAAATATTAAACAGACAGCACAACAGTTTTCAACATTGATAATAATAAGAAATGTTTCTTGAGCAGCAAATCAGCATATTAGAATGATTATGTGATACTGAAGACTGGAGTAATGACTGCTGAAAATTCAGCTTTGCCAACACAGGAATAAATGACATGTTAATTATATTAAAACAGAAAACAGTTATTTTAAATTTTAATAATATTTCACAATATTACTGTTTTTACTGTAATTTTTATCAAATAAATGCAGCCTTTGTGAGCACAAGTGTCCGTAACAATAAGAGACTTCTTTCAAGACAATTACAAAAAAATTCCTAACCCAAACTGTTGAACAGTAGTGTATACATAGTAAATATATATATATATATTTTTTTTTTTCTTTTTGTCCTTTTCAGCTACATTTATTCAGTGAAGAAAAATCCCAAAAGTCTTCATTGTCTCATTGTAAAGTTTATGCAACAAAAATGACAATTCTCAGCAACAGTGAATTTGATTGGCCTTCGGGGGGCATACAATTCACCAAACCGCACTGGCATCTGAGAACAAAATCTTTGAGATGCTTATTTAATTAATACCAAGTCAAAGACAAAATAAACCACTCCTCTGTAAGAGAAGGAAAGGGTCTAAACATCAGCAACATATGTTGACAGAATGGTCTAGACAGGCTGAGAGGTCCTCGCCATCACACGGACTTGCTCACGAGTGCCATTAATGTCAATCTCACTTTGTTTCTGATACAGCTTTCAAACATAAGGTAACCTTATAAAAAATTCCAGACTAAGTGTGTTTGTTATGATATATGCTTGTGTGGATGGTTAAAACTAGCCGAAAGAGACCTGATGTCTACATTTCTGGACCTGGCACCCTATAAAGTGATTTTATTGGCTTTGATGCCGCCTGGTGAACTTGTGTCCCATGTGTGATGCAATTTACAGATTTGTCTCTATTTCTATGTAAACGTAAACCTTGATGAATGCAAAGTAGTTCATAAAAAAAAAAAACTATATACTTTCGTTCAAAAGTATGTTGTTGAAAGAAGTCTCTTAAGCTGACCAAAGCTGTATTTATTTGAAACAGTGAAAACAGTAATATCGTGAAATAATATATTAAAATAATATAATTTATTCCTGTGATGGCAAATCTACATTTTCAGCAGTCAGTGTTCCAGTCTTCAGTGTCACATGATCCTCCAGAAATCATTCTAATGTGCTGATTTGCTCATTGATGCTCAAAGTTGTATCAATGTTGAAAATGCTGCTTAATATTTTTGTGGAAACCTATACTTTTTCAGGATTCTCTGATGAACAGAAAAAGAACAGCATTTATTTGATATTGAAATCTTTTTTGTCTTTACTTTCACTTTTGACCAACTTAATGCATCCTTGCGGAATAAAAGTATTAATTTCTTTAAAAAAAAAGTCTTACTGACCCCAAACTTTTGAACAGTAGTGTATTTAGCACAAAGGAAAATCTACGGAAACCATTTGAGTTTGATTTATGTTTCAAATATAAAGCAAAATATTTCTAAACAAATTACATTCATCAAATACTTTGAACCATCCATCATAGGGATGTTGTGTGACTCAACTGACCTGTGGGTCCAGATGGGAAATTTCGAATGGAGGGCCGCTGCACCACACTGTAGGCCTCTCCCACTACAAAAACCTTATACAGCACTGCATTATGGTTGATAAAGCTCTGGATGACACATGGGGGCTTGATGTCTTTCAGATCTTCCTCACTGAAGATGATGGCCATCTATTGAGCAGAAACCGAATCAACATCAGGTTATAAATTAACATGATAAAATACACAGATTCTTATTGTGATCTTGAAATGTGAAGGAGCAAACGAGAAAAGTCAAATATAATGTATGTACTGTACTTTCAAGACACTAAAACTGCCACACCAAAACGTCTTTCCTTTAGCTAAGTAAATCGATGTGCTCACAGTCATAAAACACATGACCATCAACCTGTTTGCACAAACACAGTCATTCAGCAGTCAGTGGTGACACATTAATCTAGTACGCCCCTCATTGTCAACACTGTAAAACAGAGTTACTTATGTCTTCAAGCAGTATTCTGAAGGAATGTGAGTGATCGGAGACTTTGCCTGTACATTAGTCACAGAGAATCAAAGATATGGTCACCATAGCAACGGAGGCTGCACCCCTGTTAATCATCCACTAGGATAGCAGGGTTACGTGTCATTCAGAGCAATGAGAGCTTCAGATTTACTCTCTCTTTGTGTGATACGTGTCAAAATACTGTGCAACTGATGTTTTTTTTTTTTAGCTTTTTTTTAGTATCACACTTTCAAGGCAACTGAAATGAATCATTGTGGCCTTTATGAGGCAAAAGTGGCCACAGCGTTGTTGAAATATCAAAGAAATATAATGTGTGTTTTTTAATACTACTACTACTGCTACTACTAATTGCACCTTTCAGTTCTCTAGCTTTACTGAAATAGAAATCCTGCATGAAAAATTGTGATACTCAAACCCAAAATTAATCATTCTAATGAGACGCCACTCAACGTTATAAATTATTGACTAAAATCATGTAGCACCTCTTATGTAATGGATCTAAATAGCACTGTGCTGTACAGTACTTATCTCCTGCTCATTATGTAAGATATGAAAAATAGCCCAGGTTACAGAAGAGTAAACTCTCTTACCTCATGGGAGTTGATGCCATGAGCTACCTGGGTTTTGCAGACTGCAATCAAACAAAAATAGCGTGAAAATGTGTCGCTCCAGTACACATTAGAAAATATATAAGAAACAGCTTTTTGAAATCTGAAACCGCTTTTCTGATTTAGATGAGCCAAATCTTTGTATGTAAATGGTCATGAAGATTACTGGTGATTTTAAATGACATGAACTTACTGAAGGGAAATGTGATTCCATGTTTCTGAAGCTGCTCCAGAGTCTCAGTGCCACATTCACTCTTGAGGACCATGAATGGAGGTGAGCAGATTCTGTCATCTACAGAAAACACACATGAGCACATGCTACGCTTTTTGTCTAGATCTATTAAATTATTTAATAATACATTAAAAATGCATTTCATACATATAATGACTCGAATATACTTCTTTTGTGTTGAGCATGTTTTTCATTTCTGGTTAAAAATGTAGTTTGATAATGTCAGTGTGATATAACTGCACTGATATCATACTGAAGAAAAAAAGACAAAAGAGTGAAATTTTTGAAAATAAATAAAAACTACATTTTTTTTTTTAAAAACCTCTTTAGGGCAAATCAAAGTTAAAAAATATCAGACAATTTGGCAAAGGAAGGTGCAATTATCTAAAAACTTAATGATAAATAAATTAATAAATAAATAACACTTTTACCTTGAAATTATATTTTAAAAACGTAAATGATTATTAGGATTAAGTTAGCTGTTAATGATTCTCTAAAAACTAAAAAAAAGATCTAAAATATTTAAAATTGTCGCAAATATTATTATAATATTAATGATTCATGATATTAGAAATAAATAAATATATTTGTTTTACTATAGAGATTCTTCTTATTATTGTGAAAAAGATTATTAGGATAAAGTTGGTTGCTATGTTTTTAAATATTAAAATTAAGATTTAAACATCTAAACTCTGTCAATGTCAAGAAAACATTGATAACTGTCTTCTTTACTCTTATGGATCTGATCATGATGATGGCACTCCAATTCTACAATTTTGTTTGTAAAGGTCTGGGAGAAAAAAAATATGGTGCAGTTGTTTCTTGGATGTGTTTTGATTTCATCTTACTTCCTCTCTTTTTCTTCCTAACTAGCAAGCATTTCTTTCTTTCTTTCTTATTACTATCTTTTCTCAAACCTACACACACAAATGAAAACCTAACAGGCCAGATGACACATCTTGACAAGATTAACTAGCACACCCTGAGCATAACTCCTTGTAGACACCAAGTTTGGAAGGGGGTCTTAATGATGTGTGGCCTGCACACATTTTAAGTGATGACTACACTTTATACAGGATAATATTACTACTGGATCCATGGAAACATTTAAAACTAAACCATTGAAGTATCTGTGAATTTTCAGCTTGCTTTTGATCTGCAACCATCAATTACATCTTATAAACAGCTTCTTTTCCAAGACTGAAAGCGCAGTCTATTTATAGCCGCTCAAAAACAAACTTTTTCTATGTTGGGCAGCTCAACACAGCTCAGCGTATTAAAGCATCACATTTTACATTAGACAAGGAACATGAATCCATTTGATCAAACAAGCAGTAACCTTTAAAGCAACTACAAACACTGAATACAGCAATGTGCTGTGCATGTATTGTGCAAGTGAGTTATTTTAAAAAGGATCTTGAGTAATACCGAGGGTATATGAGCTGTGTTATCTTTCTTTTCCCAGAATCCCTTGCAGTGTTGTTTCATAAGCTAATAGCCATAGAGGCAGTTGCCTGGTGAGTGGGCCCGAGAAAATAGTCACTCCCTTTGTATCCTAAACAGAGTCGTCTCTTTCTTAGAGACTGGGGAAACACCAAGGCAGATGGTTAACTTCACACTAACCCTCAGCTGACACTCCTGTACCCACACGTTTCTCTGGAGAACATTGATGTTCTGATATGTTTTTGATTGGACAATGGCTTCTCCGATCTGAATGCAAGAGATTTCTCTGTGAACAATTTTGAAAGCATGGTAATTTTCGCATTTAAAGATCCTTTATATTATGAACTTTATATCAATGGGGTCCAAAAGGCCACATTGTCACACTGACCACACAAGATCAAAAACCTCATCAGGTTTTAAACTTGTGGAGTTTATGCAGCTTGAGTGTGTCTGTCATTAAAGCAAATTCTATATTCCCCCGCATGCACACACACGAGTGTCTACCAGCCCGCAGCAGCACTCGCCCATCTTGTTCCGCGTCGCGCTCTGTTGCTTGCGTCGGGTCTCGCGGGAGCAGGTCTCTAATCCACTGACAGTGTGCCTACTACATCCTTTTTACAATCTCTAGATTATAAAACCTCAGCTTGTAACTATACTCTAATTACAATTTTGAAAATTATAACGCGTTAAATTACTCTGTTACTAAAAAAGTAATCAAATTACAATAACGCGTTACTAAGTAATGTGTTACTGCCCAACACTGTTTATTACTCACCCTCATGTCGTTCCAAACCCGTAAGACCTTCGTTCATCTTTGGAACACAAATTAATATATTTTTGATGAAATCAAAATTATGATTAAAAAGGCTTTCTGACCCTGCATACACAGCAACGCAACTACCACATTCAAGGCCGGGAAAGGTAGTAAGGACATCATTAAAATAGTCCATGTGACATCAGTGGTTTAACTTTAATTTTATGAAGCTACGAGAATACTTTTTTGCACAAGGAAAACAAAAACAACAACTTTATTCAACAATTTCTTTTCTTTTGTGTCAGTCTTCAACGCGCGTTCATAAGAGTACCATTAAGCATGCGTGTGAGGAGCAATCTGTCGTAGAACTTCCATCTCTCTTAGTTCATCATCTGTATATTCTGGTTCAAATAAGTAAGACTGGGCAAAAAATTGCAAGGCATCCTCTTTGTTGAAATCTTCAGACATGTTTACGAAGACTGTTTTATGTACATTGTGCATCTTCCTCTGCTTGTAAACAAGGTGCAGCGCATTTGGGTTCTACGTCAGAATGGAGGCTCCTGCATCAGCAGCATCGTCACACACATGCGGCATGGTACTCTCGTGAACCTGCGGCGGAGACTGACACGGAAGAGAATAAATTGTTGAATAAACTAGTTATTTTCTGTTTCTTTGCACACAAAAAGTATTCTCGTAGCTTCATAAAATTACGGCTGAAC